ATAAAAATTAACGGTTCTTTGTTCGTATTTTATGCACTTCCATACCGTTCATCAGATTTTTTTATAGAATGGGACAAACAATCATACATTTCACCTGGTGGTAAGTGAATGCTGTTTTTTTGTTGCAACCCTGGTGATAAGTTGTAAAAATAATTGGTCCCGAAAATTTTTCTTTAATAATTACTGCTGCTTTGTATTGAATGTTTAAGAAAGTCGGTACATCAATATTATAACAACATTTTTATGTTGGAACGAAAAGTGACGGGTAACGAACATTGTTTAAAATCATTGTGGTTCTTATTTCATATCATTCCTTTTATTAGTTAAAGAACTATTCTACATATTTCTCGGATTATTATACGCTTTGCGTATATTTTTTTTTAATTATTCTAACGATAATTTGATATGTAATCTGTAAAAAATAATTTAAAAAATACTCGACATTAGCTTGCTCTGCTCCTTCTGTTTTCGATCTTTGTTTTAAATTATTATTTACAATAAATTCGCTCGACAACCGATGCCGGAGTTGAGAAAATAAATAATTTTTTTGTGCTTGGAAAAATTCAAAGGATGCTGATATATTTTGTGACCTTTCTTAGGCCTTCGACTGTGTTCACCATGAGACATTAATCAGGCAGCCACAGTACTACGGTGTCAAGAACACAGCGCTAAAACTAGTTTAAGTTATTATCAATGATAATTGTTCTTACGGACGGCCCGTCCAGATGGGTGTTCCTTAGGGTTCAATTCTTGGCCCATTTGTATTTTTAGTGTATATTAATGACATTCCCTGGTAGGGGATAATAATGAAATAGTATTATTTGCTCATGATACTTCCTTGATTTTTAAACTTAAACGTCAAACATTTAAACGTGACGTGCAAATAAATAAGGCTATGTCAAAATTCGTGCAACGGCAATAAAACTAAATTTATTAAATTTACAACAATGAATGCTAAACATCTGAATAACAATGTGCTTTTAAATGGGGAAAATCTGAGTCCCGTTGAATCCTCTTTTTTTCTTGGCATCACTCTCGACGCTAAGCTTCAGTGAGGCATATATCTAAACAAGCAAGCAGACTAAGCTCTGCAGTTTATGCTGTAAAAAAGATTAGAGATCTCACCAGTATCGAGAAAGCTAAATTAGTTTAAGTTATTTCCATAGTATAGTGTCATATAGGATTTTGCTATTGGGAAATGCAGCTTAGAAACTATTTTTGTTTCAGAGAAGAGGGTCATAAGAGCTATTTACAACCTATAAAACCAAGAGAGTCTCTTAGATTTTTTTTTTAAGAAATCATCACCAAAAATTTCTTTTATATATAGATATATTAACTTTCGCCTCTCAGTATATCTACGAAAATTTAATGTTCTTCACAAAAACAAAGGTAGTTTTAGTAAAAAAAGTGATATACACTCTGTAAACACTAGGAACAAACAAGCTAGTGATTTCGGTAGCGGTTTCTCGACTCCACAGAGTCAGTAATTGATTTTTGGGGCAATGTATACGCTATTACAACAAAGTCCTAGCTAATATACAAGGTCTCTCTATTATAAAGTTTAAATATTTATTTAAAACAAAAACTGAACAAAAGGGTTATTATAATATAAATAACTACCTCGTTGATAACACTTTGAAATGAGGTGGTCGCTGCCAAGCTGTTTCTAAAATAAATTTTGTAAATATTTTGTAACCATTCACATTGTAAAATTTATTTAAAAAAAGTCCCACTGGGTTTCTTGCTGGTTCTTCCCAGGACAAAGTTTTTTCAGAACCAGTGGTAAATTTAAAAAATGACTTTGAATAAGAATTATATGTAATCTATATTGAATAAAAAATATTCTATTCCATTCCATTCTATTCTATTATATTAAATAAAACCATTTATACGGATTTAATCGCGTTAAGTGATTAAACTCGATAAAATCCGTATATGTAAGTGGTTTTATTCGATGTTTAGTATTCGCGTAAATTTAAAAAATCACTATTCTATTCCGTGGCCCAAAGACATCTGAATTTATCTACGATTAAGAATAAAAACGCAGATATGTTGTTGTCCCTGAGGATTACGATGAAATGTCTCGTATCCAGTAAAAAAGGGTCTCCGGTTCTCTACACTGATCATACGAAATACAGCAGCGTGAAGCTGCTATTTTACGCTGGTATTCTGTGAGAGCGTGGTCCTTCCCCGGTCCAACCGTCCCATTTATTTTTATTAACCCCCAGAAGACACAAGTTTGCGCATTAACCGCTAAAAAGAACCCCTTTGTCGTATCTCCCCAGTTTCAAGGCACTCCCCAGTTTTGCTTCAGGCAAAAGGGGAGTGCCTTGAAACTCGACGTTGACATACGAGTATCGAGTGACGTGCAGTTTCGCGGTCACTTGAAAGAGAAGGCCAAATTGGCCTCTAAAAAGCTTGGCGTGTTCAGCAGAGCGGGACAGTATTTCATGCCGGTACACCGCCTGCAACTTTACAAGGCGCAGGTTCGGCCGCACATGGAATACTGTACCCATCTGCGGGCTGGAGCTCCCCAGTACCAGCTCCTTCCACTTGACCGCATCCAGCGCAGAGAGGCTCAAATCGTCGACGACCGATTGCTTTCCGATCGGCTAGATTCACTGGCGCTGCGAAGAGATGTTGCATCTCTTTGCATTTTCTTTCGCATATACCATGGGGAGTGAGAAATTGTTCGGATTAATCCCATCTGCCAAATTTTGTGAACGCACTACACGGCAAACGTCCCGATACCATCCACACTATCTGGATGCTTGGCGGTCCACCACTGTACGTTTCACAAGGAGTTTTCTTCCGCGTACCACCTCTCTGTGGAATAGTTTACCACCGGCGATTTTTCCGGACCGATACGACCTGGGGACCTTCAAGAAAAGAGCTTACTCCTTTCTAAAAGGCCGGCAACGCACCTGCCCTTGGTGTTGCGGTTGATCATGGGCGGCGGTAGTCACAACATCAGGTGAGACATATGCTTGTTTGCCCCCAAAAATTTTAAAAATTTGAAATTCAACATTACTATAGCCGCAGCGTGGATCTACCACGTAAAATGTTTCTCAGATTGCGCTAAAATTTTGACTTTTCAACTTATTGCTTGTACTTGCGCGAAGGTTATAGGCATAGTACAATTAACTTACAGTAGTTGGCGCACGTATCGCGCCACAGTGGTATATCATTCAATTTAAATCAATGTAGTATCATTTATAATTGAACAATATTTTAATTAAATTTATATAATAATTGAATTTGTTTAAAACGATATTCCCACAATTATTTCTTCTACGGCAGCAACGTATTCACATTAAAATTAAAAATACTGTAATTGCTTCTTCCATTAAAGTCCTCTTTCAAGTTTTATTTACCACTGCTGGCTATAGACCTTTTTAACCGAGTTCAAAAAGGACATTTTTTTTAATTTTAGCGCATATTTTTTTAAGAACCAAGCATCATCTTCGTCATCATTATAGTCCTTCAACAAGTCTACGAGCTCACTGCTGAACCCAAGGAATGCCTCAAAACATAGTACTGAGCCACCTGCATCCAATGATTTTTCCTTATCTTACCAGGTCATCACTTCATCTAATATTATAGCTTATTATGGCTGTAGCACGTATTGCGGCATTTGCGTTTTCTGTCTGTTACACGTTGGCAATAACGTTTCGACCAAACACTGCTTAGAAAGTAGAAACTGGTAAAACCCGTGTGGAATTTTATTAGGCGTGCGTGTTTTGAATAAGTTAGCTTCTTTTTTAGCAAGAAAAATATTGCGCGGTGAAGTTTCGCAATACTATCTTTACCGTACCGTAGTTAATGATCGGTACCGAAAACCCTTTTTAACCGACTTCAGAAAAATGGGGAAGTTCTAAGTCGACTGTTTTTTCGTACATTGTGAACCAATTTTAATAATTCTCTTTTATTAAATAGGTTACTTCTGGGATTGTCCTTTATACGTTTGAAAATTGCACACCTAAGTGTAGGAAAGGCGGGATAAAGATTTTAAAGGCCACTATTTGGACGTTATTCGTGCTTGTGATATTCCTTAGTTCTAAACAAAAAAAAAAATCATTCAATGAAGTTTCTGAAGCTTCCGTAGTTGGGTTTTAATACTTCTGTATGTTATGACTTAGCATCGACTTCTGAAGCCAATATGTTGTATTCTTTATAGTTCTCTGAAGTCAAGATTTACTTACTTTTTATTAAAAGTATAATATTTATTTCTGGTACGAGGTAGTCTATTCTTAATCCTCGGGGTAACAACGCATCTGCATTTTTATGCTTAATCAAGTAAGTATGTGTCTATGAACCACGACATTCACTTACAATCAGTTGAACTGTGTGCCTGTCGGTAATCCTTCCATTAGTATAAAACTAATCAGTAGGTATAAACAAATACAACAACTTTGCTTAGTTAACCCTTAATGCACCACCCTGAGTCCACGGGACTCACCACCACTTTTAAACAACAAAAAATTGTTTATTTTTTAGAGTTTAGACTTGCGCTTTCTAGTACCTTCCTGCAATTAGGCGCGGGATGCAGAGGTGAACTGTCGCAAGCAAACGTCGTTCGGAAAGGTAAATATCAAAGATGTTTAATATGTACCTATAAAACATCTTTGGTAAATATGATCGAGTGTGAGTCCTAGACTCGTGGTGGAGTGTTGTGTGGCAAAAATGGATTTACTGACTTTTATGTTTATCTATGTTAATTTTGTTTGAGGCTTTTAATATGGCATCTAAACGTATAAGGATTGAATCGGTAAACTTTGCAGATGATTTAGCCTCAGACATCATAAATGAATGTCTTTTTTTTTTGAAGATAGGGCACACGAGCATGCGGCTCACCTGATGTTAAGTGACTACCGCCGCCCATGATCATCCGAAACACCAAAGGAATTTTTTTCAGGAGAATTGCAGGTGCGTTGCTGGTAGAGGAATTGCAGGTGCATTGCCGGCCCTTTAGAAAAGAGTAAGTTCATCTCTTTTCTTGAATGAGGCTGCAAGAAGATGATATACTGGGCGAAAATGAAGTGATCGGTGATGACAGCGGTCATGCAGCTGAATTTATTCGTGAGCCACATTCCGATGACGAGGACGCCGGTTATATTGGAAGTGATCACGACACCAATTCCGAATGCTCCGAGACTGAAAAACAGGGTAGTAACTTGGATAACGTACCAAACCTTAGATATGCCTGATCAACCAAGTACATCGCAAGCTGATGATATTTTAAAGGTAAAGTCGTAGCAGACGATTTTTGATGGCTGTTAATTTTAAAGTATTTGTAAACTTAAGAAATGTGCATGTTAATTTGAGTTTATCACAAAATGTTACTGGATATGTACGAATTATTGTGTTTGCTAGAAGTCTAATAAATAACAACATAAATAACATCATTCGTTTAGTTTTTATTTAAAAAATTAAAACATGAGTCCTGGGGACTCATGGTGGTGATAAGTGATATTTTAATTAGGGTGGTAAATCAAGGGTTAAAAATAAACTATATTCAACTTCAAAATGACTGGGAAACCCCCACTTTATTTTAAAAACGTTGCTTTTGAAGTAAACTTATTTATACGCGATACGCAGTTTCCGCAATTATAAAGACAGCGATTGACTATAGTATTACATAAGTATATTTGTTAAAAAAATATATGCGTACACATTATACTTAAATTCACCGTGTTGTGGCGCTGTAAGAATACCCACTATATATATATATATATATATATATATATATATATATATATATATATATATATATATATATATATATATATATCCAATGACATAAAAGACGAAAGATGGAAACTGAAACTGGAGATAAGCATTAGCATCTTCCAGATAACAACTTAAAAAAGCAGTCTAGGTTTTACTCAAAAGGTCCACACGACTAACTTCTCAGTGGAAACAATAAAAAATATCATACGTAATTTACAATTTTTCATTCGGCACAAAAAACGACTTGGCCGATTTTGCTCAAAATTTAATGAGGTCTAAGTTACATAATTATGCGTTAAATGAAACTGGTCCCATGTCAATATCACTCTTTGTTCTCGAGATACACGAAGCAAAAATTGAATCTGAGCATACATACATAAGTACATGTAAATACACGGACATCCTCTTAAAAACCACACTATTCGGCTCTAAAGATCTTGAAACGTGGAAATATGTTACAATTTCCAATTTGCAAAATCAGACACATTACAATAACTTCCCACTGGCAAGTTAATAATAAAAAAATGCTGCTTTTAATCCGTCTGCAAACCACGGAAACGATGTGCAGTAGTGGACTTTTATATGGTGTAATGGATAGATGCTTTTTTTTTTTTAAAACCGTTTTTTTGGTAGTGTGTTTATGTATAAATAATAATATAATAATGATAATACATAACTTTTATTTTATTGGTAAGTTAGTAGGTATTTATTTAATGTTTGTGGAAAACTATTATAAATGATAAACATAAATGAATATTAACATTTGTTAATTCCCTATTATTATATTATTTAGTTTAACAATAGGATCATAAGTATGTTATTACAGTAAGAATAAGATTCAACCTCGACCATAAACTACATAACAACTATAAATACATGACTTTTCATTTTCCTCACGGATAAACATGTTAGCTAAAGGTACGTATTAAAAAGATGACTTACTAACTATGCAGTAACGGAAAACGATGTTGTTTTTAATAATTTCAGTCTTGTATCAGAGCAAGCAGGCAAATTGGGTAGGTATAAAAGCTGTAATCAGTATATCGCAATGTCTGTATCTACCGTTGTCAAATAGTTTTGGTGCATAAATGCCAATATTTAATAGTCTAAAATTCGTAGGTTTGTTTTAAAATACACAAAATTTGAATAAAATCCCAAATAACTATATTTTTACGACATAAAAACAATTCTATTACCATTACTAATATCCCTAAGCGGTCGAATTCGGCCGTGGCGTTAATGCTAGTTCAGGTAAGCCTAAAATGGTTGTGTTAGTTTAACGTTCAGTAGTCGAATAGTGGACTTGAACTTTGCTTGATTTGTTCGCGCTCTTTCATTAAACTACTGTCGCTTTAAATAACTATACTTTAGTAATAAAACTAATTTTAGCTCCTCTAATTTATAAGAGAGTTGTAGAGCAGTTTGTAGGTCTCACGGCGTGCTTACGAAATTTATATGTCCTGGAAATTATTTATTTTCAGACATGTAGGTTTCCTAGCAACGTTTTTCTTCGTCACTGAGCACGTGGTAAATAAGAACATTAACTGCGAATTATTGGCGCCGGCGGGATCGAACTATGATTGCTCGCGTCTATGAAATATATGTCGTGCGCTTAATCGTTACTCTGTATCAGAAAATAGCTAATTTAGTTTGCGTTGCAGTAGTTCTCTGCACAGACTTAATATTTTTTTTCTTTATTCTTTAAGTATTAAAAACGGTAGCATACAGTCAGTAGGCTCTAGGCGTATTCATTCAAACGGAGCGATACATTGGAATCTCGTTATTTTTTCGTGCAAGGATTAAAAAAGTCTTCTGATCAGAGGAAATAGTAAAAAACATGGCACTCGGTGACTGCCGCGGTAAAGCTATAGCATAGCATTTTTTATCAACTTATGCAATTATAATTATTTATTTATTTTATTTATGCAGTTAAGTCTTTGATATTAAATCAAGTTACACTTTTTGAGAGTGGTGACCGATAAGAAAACAATTTTTTTTCTCTTATTGAATAAATGAGAAGTTAATATTGTTTAAAATATTTTTAATATCTTACAATACATGTAGGTTATTCAGGAATTTTTATCATTCAGTTAGCAGCTAGTGTACACGCATACGTCTAGTCGCACGCACACAAACACCGTGCCGAACTCTGCCGAGTGCCGAAGTCTGCCGAACTGAAACGACGTTAGACGATGCACGGCTTTCAACGCCACACCTCCGTCGTGAGTGGGGAGCGTGAGGTTTTTTTTCGTTACGGAATTTTTGGATTCGGTCCCCGCGCTCAAGGCCCGCGATAGAAGCTATGCAATAGCTTAAAACTGTATGAAGATTTTAAGTTGTTAAAACTTAAAGTATTAAGTAAACTGAAGCTTAATCTATTGTGAACTCTTTTACGTAAAATTTTTTCAGTGGTGATAATGTCGATGCCTGTGTAGAAAAAAAAACTCTATGTAAAGAGAGTTTGCGTTTTACACCAATACTACACAATACAAAGCCACTAATTATGCCCAAAAAATTAATACCCCGAAACAAAATTCTATTTAAATACGAAAGGGGAAGAAAATTACTTGCGAGCTCGTGACAGTCAATCGGGCGGACGGAGAGACACATATATTAGACATATAGAAAAGAATATTATTTAAGTTTATTAAAATCTTGAAACGGATCACTAAAATTAAATATGGAGGGCTTAATTGTTAAAAATATTCTTCGATTGATAAAAAACTATGTTTATTTTAAAATCACTATAACCTTTTTTTTGAACGAATTCTCTCGATCAAAGAAGACTAAGACCCAAATTATTCTTGTGCAGCTTCGGGAACTGTGCTTAGAAATCTTTAAGAAATTCAATTACTCATTTGAAAGAAACCTTTTGCTACTATAGAAACCCCTAAGAAGTACAGTATTCTTTTCAACTAGTAATTGAATTTCTTTGATAGACCGATAAATTTAGTTTTCTTGAAATTAATTTCCTAGTTGTAAAATAATATTATGTGAATGGTACCTTGTTTATTTATTTATTTAATCTTTATTTAACCTTACCATCAAAAGGTAGACTTACGAAAAACGATCATCTTCAGATGATCGTTTTTCACACTCACACTCACGGTGAATGGCACAAATATGCGTGCGTTACAACATAAAATACACGAACTTATAAAAAGCAAAAAAATGTTTTTTTTTTTTCAAAAATCCTATAAACATCAACGGTTGCCACATTACCACAGATGTAACGTTTTGCTAGAACAAAACATTTACTCTCGATACAACCAGTATTGTATAGATGTGCCGACACGGCCAATCTTAACATACGATCGTCCTCGGGCGTGTATCTTTATGAATTCCTGTAACAAACACTAGTAATTACCACTTCTTCCGCTCGTCTATCCTGACGTGAATTGGTACACATGAAATTTACATACACATACAGCTACTACTAAAACTAACTTAGGCGTTCTTTTGATCAGCCATCATCTCATATGTCAACGTGGACCGGACAACTGGGTCTCTACCTGTCATTTCGTATAACGGCACCTAACTCAGTTAGCATCCCTTCGACCAGTCGTCATCTAAATCCCAAAACACAAACATACACACAGCTCTTTGCTTTGTGCAGCTTTGTACAGATTGTACGGCACTATTAGCATCGATAGAAAGTATACGTTTTAACAACACATACTCTATTTATTAATATTATTTTTATTTATTGTAGAAAGACGAACATCCTCGTTCATGCCACAATCGGAAGCATGTGTCCCTTCGACCACACACGGACCGAACGGCACTGTCTTTCAAAGCGATTGTAAGTCGATGGGACGCCTTCGATTAAGTCCTCGTCCAAGCGCGCACTTTGTGTGTGTCAGAAATATTGTGACAATTCGAGCTATGAAATCTCCCGAAGAATTTGAACAGTCCTTTGATGTTGCGAGCAACTTCGGGAAGTGATCCCGACGTGCCGAGATGCTTAGCTTTATATAGCGACATTCGGACATGCCAGTAACACGTGGACTGCCGTTGAATTCTCTTACACACATTCCCTGCACAGGGGACTATCTGCAACACCTATAGATATATAAATATATAGTCTCAAGCAATCCAAATAAAGAAAGGCTGACCGCAGGGGTGGGTTATTTTACCTCTCCTGTGAAACATGGTAATAAATAATGTAATCAGCAAATTAAATAATGATTTCTTAAATTTACGCGAACACTACACATTGAATAAAACTAAATTTACGGATTCTATCGCGTTTATTTAACTCATTTTACTTATTTTTAATTCCCGACGTTTCGGGTGCTTTACAGCAGCCATAGTCACGGGGGGGGGGTGCTGTAAAGCACCCGAAACGTCAGGAATTAAAAATAAGTAAAATCAGTTAAATAAACGCGATAGAATCCGTAAATTTAGTTTTATTCAAAGCAAATTAAATGTCAGTAAATTCTATACTATTGATTACGCAGACGACAATACTGGTCGT